CAGCAAATTTATAGAAACTTTCATAAATTGCAACTTAGTCGAAACATATATCCAAATACAATACAAAAAAGAAACGCTAACATAATATATATAAATATATATATATTTCAAATATAATATATATATATATATATATATATATATATATATATATATATATATATATATATATATATATATATATATATATAATATATATATATATATATAACCGTAATTTCCATACTCCCTTCTCCCTGTCGAAAGAAGGGAAAGAAAGAAAGAAAAAAAAAAAAAGAAATAGATAAAAGAAAAATATAAATAAACAAAAATAAAAAATAACGTAACTCACTTCCAAGAAACTTCAACACCTTCGATTTCCACAAAAGCAGAACAGGTGCCAAGGACAAGTTCCCGACAGGTGTCTCCCTGGAAGAGCTCAGGACAGACACAGGTGTTCGGTCCATCACACGAGCCCCCGTTATAACAGTCAACATTACACTCAAATTGACAACCCTCCGTCAGGTCCTTGGGGTGTGTGGGTGCCACGCTCTTCCACGTCCCTTGATGGCACACGAGAGGCACTTCCTTTACCCCGGAAGACAGTGTGTATCCCTCGTGGCACTGTGCCGTTAGGATTCCTTGGGGCTCCGTGCTGGGGTTGAAAATGATAATGACTAGGATAATGATTATGACGATGATAATGTTGATAATGGTGATAACATTAAGGATAATGATATTACTACTACTACTGCTAATAATAATAATACGATGATAATAATGCTAATAATGGTGATAACATTAAGGATAATGATATTACTACTACTACTGCTAATAATAATAATGATGATAATGATAATAGTAGTAACAATGATAATGATAATACCAATAATGATAATTATAATAATAATGATAAATAATACCAATAATAATGATAATAATAATAGTAATGATAATAATGATAAAGATAATGAAATAATAGTAATTTGAATAATATTTAAGATGATAACGAATATGATAGTAGTAGTAGTAATAATGATTATTATGATTATATGAATGATGGCAGTGATAATGATAATGATGATAATGAAAATCATCATGGTAATGGTAATAATGATATCAATAGTAACGATAATGAAAATGATAACGATGGTAACAATAACAAAAGCAACAACATAAGCAACAACGACGACAACAAAAATAATAATAAACAAAAGAGTTGCATGATATAGATAATAATGCATGTGCTGATGTAAGTATTTTTTTCTGGTGGTAACAGTTCACTAGTAAAACCATTGTATAAAAGGGAATATAAATTTGAACAATAGGAAAAGGATTATACAAAATGAATCGCCACTCTTACGAAGAGAAATAAATGTATATAAAAATGATACAATTCGCATGCAATAGGAGATATGCCTTAATCCCAATCGTTTTCACACAAAAATAAGCCACCAACACTACGAAAAAGAGAGAAAAAGGGGAAAAAATAATACCGATTTTATTAATCCCCGCTTCAACCGCTTTGGTCAATCATGACAAAGCATCACCAGAATCCACAATATGACAAAAACGCAAATGCAAATACACATGCACTTACAAACACAAAAACAACAATAACAAATACAAGCACAAATGTAAACACAAGCATAAAATAAACACCAACACAAATACACACACAAACAAACACAGAAACGCAAATACAGACAAACACGTACACAAACACAAACAAACACAGAAGCCCAAATACAGACAAACACGCACACAAACACAAACAAACACAGAAGCGCATATACAGACAAACACAAGCATACACAGAAATACAAATACGTACACAAGCACCCCTTTACTAACCTCTCCCGAAGACGAGCATTTGGCCAAACCGGCCGCTCCTCACACGCCTCCTGTAGCAGGTTCTCGCACTCTTTCCCCGTGAAGCCTGGCCTACACTCACAGGCACTGGCACCCACACATGTGCCACCATTCTGACACCCTTTCCCACGGTGGCAGGAGGGTAGACACGGGTGGCAAAGGGGGTAGTGCTGGTTCTTCTTCCACTCTTTGTTCGTGCAGGTAATGTCGAAGGATGTACTATCCATATCTAGATCAACTATGTATCCTCGATAGCACATTGCACTCCCTTTCTCGTGGCTGGGGCGGGACAAGGGGGAGACAGATCATAAGATGGTAAGTTCGTAGATTTAGACATTAATACAGACGAAGAAATACATATCATAAAATAAAACGGAAGACACGATCTAGTATTACCTGTATACGAAATAGGGTATGTAAGAGAATGTTGTAACACTGTATTTGTGTAATGCAGTGCTGTATGATGCAATACATGAAAGCAGCATGCCACATGGAAAGTATCAACAGTCCTTTTATTATTCTTTTATTTCCTAGTGTAGCACACACACACACACACACACACACACACACACACACACACACACACACACACACACACACACACACACACACACGCACACACACACACACACACCCACACACACACACA